CAGTAGATGCACAGTCTTAGATCTGTAAGGCGAATTAGTTCGATCTTCTCAGTTTACAGATGGGCAAATTGAGATCAAGTGGCAAGAGGCAGAAATTAAAGCTTTCTCCTCCAAATAGTTGTTGACATTCAAACTAAAGGTTAGTTCCTATTCCTCACTCTTATTCATGGTTTTCAATGGGAAGAAGGGCACTGATCCAACCTCTGCTTTTTTATTTCCCTTCAGTTCTAATAATTTTTTTTTCCCCTTGAACCAGTTCCGTATTTCTGACCTTGTTATAGAAATCTAAGGTTTCTCTTCAGATAGGTAAATTTTATATCAAGGCAGCTACATAATTTCCACTCCAAACAAAAGTAAAATAGTCTACTTTCTAAACCCATAATATGCTGTAGTATGTACTTTCAAACTTACTGAACTATGAATAGATCTAATAAATTTTCTGTGGAGGAAAAATACTCAGTGAAGTCATAGAAGAAATTATGTGAACTTAGAAAGACCTTATCAAAAATTGTGAATTCTGAACATACTCTTGGTATGTCTGCCATCCTGTATTATTTTAGTAAGTCAGAAAGCTGTTGCTGAACCCTTATAAAATCACTTTTGTTTGTTTGAGATACTAGGTTGCATAAAGCTGACATTAGCCCTATGACTGTTGGTCTTTTTGCCCTCTAGGGGGTATAAGATAAGAGGCAGAAGGGGGAAATTTAAGAGATAAAGCAAAAAAAAGTACATCAAAAGCCAAGCAGATAAATGCAGTTGACCCTTCAATAATGTGGGGTTTAGGACTGACCGTCTAGACAGTCGAAAAATCCATGTATAATTTGACAGTTGGCCCTTGGTATCATTAAACAGTTCCACATTTGCAGATTCACATCCCTGGATTCAACCAACCTCAGATTGTGTAAATACTTTATTACATATTTATTTTTTAAAAAAATCCATATGTATGTGGAACCAGTGCAGATCAAACCTGTGTTGTTCAAGGGTCAACTGTACCACCTTTTCTAGCTCACTTCTGAATCTATCCTCTGACAGGAAGTGAAGATAGGCAAATTAGGTAATCACCAAATTCTGATTGTAATTGTTTTCAGTTTTAGTATTTTAATACTTGAATAGAAAAAATATAAAAGAGGCAGTGAATAGCCACATTAGAGATTGATTACCATTTGGGGCACTCTGAATATTAAGCCTTCAAGGCAGCATGCACTGTCTCTCATTGCCTTTAAACCAAAGTCCTGCCCGTTAGTACATGAGAAGAGGGTGGACACCATTAGTCATAAGGGAATGTAAATCAAAACCATAAAGAGATTCATAGCCACACTTGCATGGCTAGAATCAAAAAGTCAGATACCAAAAAGTGTTGGTGAGGATGTGGGGAAATGAAAACCTTCATATATTATTAGTGGAAATGTAAAATGGTGTGGCCTGCTTTGGGAGACAAGTTTTGACAGTTCCTCAAAATGTTAAACAGAGTTACCATATAACCCAGCAGTTCCACTCCTAGATAAATACCCAAGAGAGATAAAAACATGTCCACACAAAAACTTGGGCATGAACATTTACAGCAGCATTATTCATAATAGCCAAAAGGTGGAAACAGTCCAGAAGTTCATCAGCTGATGGATAACCAAAAGGTGGTCTATCCATCTGATGGGTTATTATTAGGCCATAAAAAGAAATGAAGTAGTAATGCATGCTACAACATGGATGAAACTTGAAAACATCATGCTAAGTGAAAGTAGTCACAAAAGACCTCATATTATGTGATTCCATTTGTATGAATTTCCCAAACAGGAAAATCTAGAATAAATGGCTGCTTAGGGCTGGTGGGGGTTGGGGAGACAGGAATATGGGGAGAAGGGAGTGATAGCTGAAGGATACAGAGTTCGATGTTCGTTTTGTTTTTTGTTTTTTTTTTGAGGCTTAAAACATTTTGAAAATGTTTTAAAATTGACTCTTGTGATGGTTGCACATATATGTGTAAGTAAATCAAAAACCACTTATATACTTTAAATGGGTGAATTGTATGGTATATGAATTATATCTCCATAAGACATTTTTTAAGTTCCTTTTTGATCAATAATTTCATACAGTTTAATGTAAATTCAAGTTAAGAAATAAAGTGCATGACTTAAAACACAGCAATGGGATAAAAATAGCCTAGGACTTCTTTCATATATTCATATATACAAACCCCAGAAATTCCTATTGGCCCTCTCCTACAAGTTAATGTTCTAGTTGAGTAGTAACCAGTTAAATTTGAATAAATACCCTAACAAATCCTGATGGATACCAAAGTGAAGAATATCTGTTTTATGTAGTTTGCCCGTTGAGTATGTTTATTGTATTTATTCTTCTTTTTAAAATTATAGTTTGTGCATTTGTTTTGTTTTTAGTATGTGTGTAACTGTCTTATATCTTCCTTAAAGGAAATTAATTTACCTTTATTGTACATGATACACTGATATATTCCATTCTTTTTTAATGCTTATCTTAATTCAGTGATGATAGTGTCCCACAGTTTGAAAAATGGTTCTCTAGAATGGGTGTATATTTTTCAGGAACAAGTTCTCATATCTTTTATCAGATGTTTCCAAGGGATCAGTCACCCAAAAGTACATTAGATAAGAGTGCTCTGTAGAGGATCCTTTACTGCTTCAGGGAGGATAGTTAAGCAGATCTATCCTAGATAAAATGATGACATTAAAGTTATTACAAGGAGAGCTTGTGGAAGTTTTTGTGATTGTGATTAGTGTCTTAGTAATCAATTTCTATTTGGTCTGGGAGTATAGTTGACAGGATTTAAATGAGGCATTTTAGATAGTTTTAATACAATTTTAACCATTGAACACATACAGTCATAAATGTTGACTGTGATGTCGGAGGACATACTACAGTAAGTGGAGTTGTATCTTATCAAGCAGATTAGGTTTTTAAGGGCAACTGTAGGAAAATAATAATCTGTGTTATCAG